TTAATTCAACAAAACATATGAACAAACTAGAAAGTTAATTCAACGATATACATGAACAAAACATGAATCGAACATTTACCGATTTTAAATCCGAAAATATCAAAACAAAATACGGAAAACATGAAACCCAAATCTACTAACCAGATCGAAGCGACGATGAACTTGAATGAAAACAAATCTATCCGGAAACGATTATCGCACCAAAATCACTCGAATCTGCCCGAAAACTTAAACAATGGACGAAGCTTCGCTGAAGGGGTGTTTGGCGACGACGAGAGCTGAAGCAGCAGCAGCATGCTGCTGCCACGCTGCTGAAACAGTAGCAGCACAGGAGCAGCAGCTTATGGAGAAGAACAACGCAGCAGCAGCAACACTGCTGGAGCAGCCATGGCTGCTCGTCGTAGCTGGACGCGGCCATGGGAGAAATGACGAGGCTGGAAGAAGCAGAAGCATCAGGCTAGAGCTTCATTGATACAGCTATGGCAGCAGCAATACGGCTAAGAAGAAGCAACCATGGCAACGACAGTGAAGCAGCAGTCAGCGACGAACGACGAAGAAGAAACAATCATTAGTTCGACGGGGAAGAAAGAAGCAGAAATAGCCAGCAGCGCTACAGTGAGCTGGAAGAAACAACAGCTATCAACGTGATGGAGAAGAAGAAGCAGCGAGGGGGCAGCCATGGATGCTTGAGCTCGAGCTAGAAAAAGATGGCGACGATGAAGACGGAAAAAGCGAAAAACGAAGGAGATGGTGGTCGGTTGCTGCGTGTGTGCGTGTGTATGTTGTTGTGTTTGTGTTGTATATGTGTGTGTGTGTTANTTTCAACAGTGAAAGAAAAAAAATGTTAGGGTTTTTTTTTGAAAGATAGGGAAATAGGGGTGTTGGGTTACTGGGTCGACCCAATTTGAAATGGACCGGGTCATAGGGAAAGGTTGGGTATATTTGGGCATGTGGTTCAAAATTGAAGAAGTGGCCCAATTCCGATTTTCTTTATATTGTTTGCTCTATTTTCTTTTATTTTCTAATTAATAAAACTAAAATTCTAAATTAAGTTATAAACTAAATTAATTTATCAAAAATACTAAATAATTCCCCATAACTATTATCGCACATTTAAATAGCAATTAACGATAAAATCGCACAATTTAGACGTTAAATGCTAAAATGCAACATGCATTATTTTTTATGATTTTCTCTTTTTTTTTTTGTAAAACAAACTTAAATACTAAATGAAAATGCGACATATTTTATATTTTTATTAATTTAAACAAATAAACATGCACAGACAAAAAAACAAATAATTATACAAAAATTCAAAATTGCACACAAAAAGAAAAATTGTTTTATTTTGAATTTTTTGAGAGTAATTCTTTCATAGGGCAAAAATCACGTGCTTACACTTGTTCCATCGAAGATTTTAATTTAAACTTTTAAGAGAAACTCCTCCAAATTTGTTATAATTTCAGCTAAAGATTCCCCAAGACGACCCTAAGGCAACCCCAACATTAATTTCACAAACTTTCATCAAATCAAGTAACCCATTTTAAACCTTAAAGCTTTTTAAAGACCCCATTAATGGAGTTTCGATTTGAAATGAAGAACTCGGAGTCATTTAGCTAGTAATTGAAGGTAGTCGATCCAGTTCTTGATCAGATCTATGCATGCCAATTAAACTCCAGTGACTTCAATGACCTGTTGATGAGTGGAGCAGCATTTTCCTCGCCATTTAAGGTAGACGATCCAGTTCTTGATCAGATTGACCATGAACTTCTCCACCACAATCGTGACGAACCAATGCCAGGTGGATGGTGTTTAGGTAACAGTGAAACTAACAAATGTAGCGTTTGGGGAGACGCTAAAATTCTAAGACTCGGTCCAGGTGACACTAATAAAGAAGAAGAAGGAAATGGTGAAAGTGGAGGAGGCAATGATGGAAATGGCGGTGGGCATAAAGAAGAAGAAGAAGAAGAAGAAGAAGAAGAAGAAGAAGAAGAAGAAGAAGAAGAAGAAGAAGAAGAAGAAGAAGAAGACGAAGGAAATAAAAAAGACAAAAAGAAAAAAGAAAAAATCTTTTTTTTGGACTCTTCACGCGCCTATATTGGATGAAACTCACTCTATGTGCCAACTCAGCAAGAAGTGTCTAATTGGAACAAAGTTCATATAATATACGTGCTTATTAGGAACACCCCTAAGTTCAGGTGTCTAAATGAAAAATCGTGCCAACTTTAAGTGTCTCCGTATGTATTCAGCCAAATAATAATTCCTCAAACTAACAATAATTCCTCAATTTTGACAAGAATATTTCAAGAAATCATATGGGTAATACTTTTTTAGCAAAAATTTTGGTATTTCGTTATTGGTTTTCTGAATTTTTTAAGGTGGTGACTGTTGGATCTAGTAACAAGGAGAAGATGGTGTTTGAATATGTAAAAGAAACTAAAGAGATAAGGCTGAAAAATACATAAGGGGTTTCAGAGAAAAAGGAAAATAACATGCATTGGGGAATTGCTGATATCAAGAAGAAAGAGAGAAGAAAAGAGAAGAGAAGAGGCGGCACTCTTTCTAATTTTTCTCAGTTATTTTAATAGAATAAATGAATAACCGGGTAAATAGTTTGGACCGCATAGGTAGGAGTAATAAATAGTTTGAGCCTGGACATTAAAGGGTAAATAGTTTAGAATTAATGGGTATAAAGTAAAAAATTTCCTTTTATTTTTAAGTTCTTGTTCTTCTTTTCGCTTGGCCTCACAGTTTAATTAGTACTAGCAGTCTTCAGTAATTACTATACTTTCAAGGAATCAATATTTTTCCAACAACGTACAAAGATAATTTCTAATACTTAGAGCCCGTTTGGACATAAGAAAATTTTCCTTTTTTTCAATTTTTTTTTAAAAACAGTGTTTGGTTATTAAAATCTTATAATTTTTTCAATCTCACTTGAAAATGCATTTTCAAAATTGAACCAGTTTTTCAATTGAAAATGGGAAGGTTGCTAGTTTTTATTTGCAAAATATGTTGAAAAAAGATATCCAAATATGTTGCAAAAATTATAACCAAACACAACTTCAAATTTTAGTGAAATTCCAAATTTGAATGCCTACTTAATGCCTCTCCGATTTTGAATAAATCATTAGGGAGTTCTTTTGTTAAGGAAAGAGCTTTAAGGTGATTGTAAACTTTATTTATGACATAATAAAACACTTTAGGTGATTTAGATTTAATACATGCAAACAAAAATCATTCAAGATCTCATAGGGTGTTTATACCAAATTAATAAATATATGAACGTGTTTGAATACATGCTTCTATCACGTAATCATGGATAATGAATTTATATTTTTACTTTATTAAATCACTTAACAAAAATAATATTTTTGAATGCATTATATTTTCCAAAGTCACAATAGATCCACTTTATATTTAATCAACGATAGAACTTCTATTCCTCTTAAACTGTAATAAAATTGAATCAAAACATAAAGTGTCAAATCTCCTTGTGGAAATGTGATACTTCCCAACACCATCTCAATTAGTCCGGTTTTAATTTGAGTACCAAATATCTGATGAGAAGCACAAAAATTAGGAATGTGCTGTTATTTTTTGACAGACTCGGCGTTTGGACATAAGAATTGTAAAATTTTTTTTTAAAAAAAGTGAAAATCTTTTTTAAGTAAAAATGGTATTTGAAAATCAGAGTTGTGTTTGGACATGAATATAATTTTGAGTTATTTTTGAAGTTTTGTGAGTGATCTGAGGGAAAATTTTGAAAAATAACTTTTTTTAGTTTTTAAAATTTTCGAAAAATTTCAAAATTCATTTTCAAGTGAAAATTAAAATTTTTAAGTCAAACGCTCAATTCGAAAAAAAAATGAAAAAATTCATATGTTCAAACGGGCTCCTAAGCTAGCGTTTGGCCATAGATTTCCAAATTTGTTTTGAAAAATCTAATTTGGGTGAAGTTTGGTTTGAAGATGAAAATGTGTTTGGACATACGTTTTCAAAACATATATTCTAAATTTATTTTGAAAAAACATGTATATTATTTAGTGTTTGTAAATATTTTGGCTGAGCTAATTTTAGAGTTTTGCCAAAGTATAGGCAAAATTTATAACTAAACATGTATTTGCCGAATAAAATTTAAATTTATTTTAACAAAATCTATGGCCAAACACGTCTAAGCAAGGACTCCTAAGTTTTAAGAGATACCAATAGCATTGTGACAACTAACAACAACAACAATAACAACAACCCAGTGTAATCCCACAAGTGGGGTCTGGGGAGGGTAATATGTACGCAGACCTTACCTCTACCCCGAGGGGCAGAGAGGCTATTTCCAGGCGACCCTCGGCTCAAAGAGGCAACAAGAGACACTATATTAGTACTATCAATAGACTCATAATAAAATACCATAAAATACCATAAAATCCATAACATAACATAAATACCATAAACAAAGTAACAACAATATAAGAGATATAGAAAATACGAGAATATGTAAGGTATTAATACACAGAAGATAAAGCCCATCATCAGTAGTTGATCAATAGCATCCTAAGACTAATTCCTAACTGGCTAGTCTCACTCTAGTGCGCTGTAAAAAGACATCACAAATTTCCCCTAACCTACAACCTTAATGCTCGATCTCCACAATTTCCTGTTTAGGATCATGTCTTCAGTAACCCTAAGTCGCGTCATATCCTGGCCATTGTGACGGAAAAATCCAATTGACAATAGAAGCTGCGCGTAATATAAAAGCAGCGCTTTTGTTAGTGTCTCACTAGTTTCTTCCCTATTTTGACTACTTTGTGCGTAAGGAGAGAAAGAGAGAGAGAGAGTGAAGAATCCAATGGGATCGTATCTTTCAAGTTTGCTCGGCGGAGGCGCGGCGGAAGCGGCAGAGGCAGAATCAGGATCGTCGTCAGAACCGTCGCGTGTGATTGCTTTTCATTCGTCCAATCGGTGGCAACTTCACTTCAATTCCTCCAAGCAATTAAATAAACTGGTATCACCCTGTTATCTATTCGCTATGCAAAATTTTAGGGTTTAATTTTGAGAGATCTGATTTCGGTCGATTAACCTAATTACCAGATAGTAGTGGATTTTGCGGCTACATGGTGTGGGCCCTGCAAGATGATGGAGCCGGTTATTAACGCCATGTCTGCCAAGTATACCGACGTTGACTTCGTCAAAATCGACGTCGATGAGCTCTCAGTACGTGACATCTGAATTTCCTTTAAACAATAGGCACATAGTATATTTGTACAAACTAACAAAACAGGAATAGATTTATAATTATAGATCCAGCTAAGGTTGAAGTGATTGATGTTGTTAATTTGGTGTTTAAAATAAATAGGATGTAGCACAAGAGTTTGGAGTACAAGCTATGCCAACATTTTTGCTGCTGAAGCAAGGAAAGGAAGTAGAGAGAGTGGTTGGGGGTAAGAAAGATGAGCTCGAGAAAAAGATTCTCAAGCACAGGGAAGCCCCTAAATTTGCTGCCTAGTAATTATCGAGCTAAATTTCATATCCAATAAATTAACAGAAAAGAAAAGCATCATTTCTACTTTACTACCGTATTGTGATGTAACGTAATATTGATGGGATTTGACTATGGTGGATCTCTTTGATGTCTTTTCCAGTTTTTCATGCGCAATTTTCTATGTGTGTGTGCGTGTTTGGAATTGAAAACAATGTTTCTAAGTTTGTGTTTGGAATGATCTTATGTATAGTTTAATCCTGAACATGAGCTTTACATAAATGCTCATGTTCAGCAACTAAATGAAACCTAAAAACTCAATCAGTCATAAATAAGCAAATTAATGGCTTTCTTATTTCCCCTTTAGCCCTTTTTACTAGTTTTCGCCCGATGATTGTATGGTACTCTTTTTGTGCGCTTCTAGTTTGAATCTCCTTCTGCGCTTTTCATGTGTCGTTATGTAATTTTCGGGAAATTGCTATACATATCATTACTCCCTCCGCTGCTCCGGTCCACAATAAGTGACCAATTTGCGACACACCCATGAAGTAATAGTATCATTTTCAGCACTTCCACTTAATTTTCCTTTTGGGGCAACATTATGAGTGTAAGAACAGCAGAACACTTCACTACCAGCATCTTCAACTATAATTTCAGCATCCATGTCACAGAACAATTTACTAAAAAGGCCTAGAACTTCAGCTTTAATGAAAGCAAGTGAAAGTTGGTTCTTATGAAGGTAATCAAGCTCAAAAGAAAAAGAATTCATATTCTGCCACTTCCAGGCTAGATTTATTGCAATTTGCAATGCATGAACTACACTTGTCTTAGCATTTTCAACCACATTTGTAGTTTCAGCTCCATTCCTTGCACTAGCTACAACAACTAAAGGTGAAATATGCTCAACTAAAGATGAGCTCACAGTACGTGACATCTGAATTTCCTTTAAACAATACGCACATAGTATATTTATACAAAATTGATCAATTATTGTGGACCGGAGGGAGTATATTATACTCCGATGCTTTTTCTCGTTATTGTATAAACAAAATTCAAAACATAGCTGAAAAGGGAATCAGTAAATGACGTTAAATATGTGAAATGAGAAAAGAGTGAACTATTATCATTCTTCACATTTATTTCGTTGTTTTCTTTTAGTTTTTCTGTTTTATCTTTGAGTTAACATAACAAAGAACAATTCCGAGTAGCAATTTTGCTGAAGTGACATAAGAATGACGTAAAGGGTGTAGTAACATATTCAAAACAATTTTCTGCCTCCTCACTCGCACCCCACCGCCGGATTTTCGGCATGTCATTGGTTATGGAAAGGTCAAAATGACACAAGATTTAGTAAATTCACATTTAGCGCTTTATACTAACTTCAGATAATGTCTAAAGAAATCTAACGTATCGCCCTCATCCACCAGTCCATGGCTTTTTGACAATGTCACCTGTTATTTGAAAGGTCAAAATGACGATTCTTATAACTTTAGACAAGTTATATTCATTACTGTGGTTAACTGGAGAAAAGTTTTTGGGAGAATAAGATTCAATAGTCCGATCTCATATTTGGTCGGACAACAACAATTATTCAGGAACTTCCTGCTTCTTATCAACGCATCATCACACGAATATCAGTAGAAAGAGAATAGCCATAACTAAGCAAGAGAACAAAGACGTAAGATTAACTAGCAAACAAGAATTCAAGGCATAGCACATTTACATTTTAGGCTCACTCTGTTTATAAATGTAGGTTGTGAGCTTCCTCATTGGTGCTAAAGGTCACTGCAAAATTTTCTATTATCTACAAGAATGAATGATGGAAGGAGAGCGAGCGAGCGAGAGAGAAATGGAAACAGCACATCTAGAAGAACGATAATCTGACATTATAGCTTCTCTTCCGGAATTCTTCAGCTGGTACTGATTCTTGATTTGATTGTGACAAATCTCTAGGAAATAATCTCCAAACCTAAGTTTGATAGCAGAACCATCCAACAGGGAAAAATTGTACTACTTCCCATTAGTGTTCCCATGTTTGTGGAATGGCCAAATTTTTACCAGGCGCTCTAGAACGGATGCACTTTTTGAGAAGTAGCCTGAGAATCCTTGAGGAGTTGATGGTGGAGGGAAATCTTCAGCCGGCATGGCAAAAGGACGAATCATATTTTCCATGTTTGCCAATGTAAGATATGAACCAATTTCTTGAAGCCTTTCAGGACCCATTATTGGCAGTGTGTGCTCTTGATGCCATGAAGCAGCTATCTCATCATTTTTCTGCAAATTAACCATGGAACGTAAATAAAGTTGGAGTTTCTCATTCCTAACACAGCTTTGCAAAAAAATAATCGAAATGAGATGGCGTTACTGGTGGTTATATAGTCGGAGATTTATCGTAAAGATCAACTTTTCAATTACATTTCGTGAAATAGAAAGACATAATACCTCCTCCAGTGGCGATAGATCAGCACCACGGCTGAAAGCCATCTCTATGCGGAACCTTTTAGGGTCTTCCAGAGCCACCTGCACCAAATCGATACAATATGAATCCAGCAGACATCTACTATCAGGAGTTCCTCATCAGACGAAAACACTATTACATCACATGTTGCTACAAGGCTAAGCAAGTGTTCATCCCAGGCACTGTGTCTCAAACCAAAGAGTTTAAGTAGGAACTTCGGAAGACCTAAAATCTTCTGGAATATATATACTTAATTCCTTATAAACCAAAGACTTAATAGTAGAGTCTATTCCTTATTTCTCAGAAAACTAACACATCTTCAGGAAACCTCTTTGCTTGCAAACCCATAAGAGGGGCAGGGACGTTGAGGGGTCGGTTCTATTAGGAAGTTTCTGGCATAGTTCGGTGATGCTGAAAATATTTGAAATAACACATCTTTTTTACTTACCCATAAAAAACGAGGATTACTATATAATTTCAGTTCTTTAAAACACTATCACATTTAAGAGAACCTCTGTGCTTGCAAAACCACAAGAGAAAGGTGCAGAGGTACGGCTGTGTCGAGTCTGCATAGTTTTCTTTCCCACCCACTTCTCCAGAATACCCAAAGGAAAACAGATAACAGCTTGCATATATTTAAGGTGCACCAAAATACTGATTCACAACTTATCCTGCCTTCTCATTTTCTTTGTGCTTCAGTAGTATAAACAGACTTACGAACCTCTGTGTTCTCGAACATCCTCAGTACAATGTAACTCATGTAATCCAGCTCCTTCGTATTAAACAAGCGATCCAAAGCATTGTCGCACACAAGGCTGGCCTCTTCTTGAAGAGACTCATCCAGATTACAATAACGAAGAACATTCATCAAGGAATGAATATGCGACTCCTGTCAAGTCAAACAATTGGTAAACTAGAATTCGGGGAAGGAAAGAGGGGGGAAAAAGAGAAAAATCTAAATGGAGAAAATAACAGCAAGCAAAATGTTAATAGCACTACAGTGTCTAAACAAAAATCTAATCATATAATAAGCAGAGTTTATAAGTTCAAAGAGAGAAATACCACATTGCAGACATATTAAATTGTTACATATGACAGAATGAGTGATAGATTATTCTCATTCACACATCAACTGTTAATAAACTCCAAATTTTGAATAAACCATCCATGTTTGATCAATAAAAGTTGATTTAGAGTTTGATCTTTGCTAACTAGTTTTTACAACAATTAAGTTATGTGAACCATCTCAACTAAAATGTTAAGCTAAAAGAGGACATTTTTATTTATTTAATAATGTTGATTTTCAAGATACTGCTCGCGTGTGAGCCAGAAAAGTTAAGTACGTACAGCAGCTAGAAAATAACAGTAGAAAACTAGAAAATTCAATTGCATGTTTCCACTTACTGATGTAAAGTACAGGCGTGTTCGCACATGTCTTTCAGGTGTTCTGACATTTGCATACCTGAAAAAGGTAAAGCATAAAATCATCAAATACAATACAAGAAAGTATTCTGCAATCTTATCTTGATTTACAAAGACAGTTCTAGATAAAAACAAAAATAACATTGGAATATACAAGTTCATTGGACATCTAATTAAGTGAACAAGAGGTACCACATACTTCGGATCTAAGCGGTACTTAGTCTCTTTGTCATCATCATCATCTTGATCCATGGATCTCTCACTATTGAAGCTAGTTCTTCTAGACTCTTCATTCCGAGTGTGAGGCTTGGTATGGTGCTCCGTATCTTCCTTTGTTGTCTTATTCACTGCCAAATGATTGTCTTGACTACCTTTCAACTCGGCCACACTTAAAGCTTCTTCACGGGTATTCCTTAGATCAATCATAATCTTACCCAACAAGCGGCGAGCAATCTGAATGAACAACTCATAGATTATGCATTGATGTCTATATAAGCCTGCACTATCATACAAGATGCCACATAAATGCAAACATATTACACAACCCTTCTTTCATTGCATCCTGGTTAAAAATAGTGGTGGATCCAAGATGTGTGACCTCAAATTCTGTACGTAGTGATGGTTATTGTAGTGGACAAGAAGCAATGCACTAACTAATCTTCCTCCAATACACACATAAGCTTTTAATTTATCAGAAGCAGGCTTTAATCTACTTTTTCCACCAGTCATTCAAAATTGTTGAGTGTTGACTGTTCTCATTCACTCATATTTTTTTTTTTGAGGAAGTTCATTCACTCATAAAGTTATAGTGTAACTACAACTCTAGCTAGGTAAAATGATTGATTTTCACTGCCTTCCTTAAGCACACCTTGACCAACAGCAATGGACATGGCTCTGAATGTAAAATGTTTACCTTTGATCCAATCTTTAACTTCTGCTTTGGATTTATCCCGTATTCATTAGGAATAACACCATCTGCAAGTAACTGAAATTCAAAAACAATCGTACTTTCCTTTAGAAGTCGGTTGTGATAACTCTTAAGAGAACATTGCAAGACCCTCGTATATTTGAAAAAATAGAATTTCAGGATTACTGGAGACAACAGACTCATAGCCTAAACACATGGAAAAGCAGCAATGCCATATACAAGTGTTGCTACAGAGAAAATTAAGATTAGTAATATGATACCAGACTTTTATCTTGTTCCGGAGTCATTTTTTCCTTTTTTCTGTGGGGGTGGGGGGCAGCGAGCAAGGGTTGTGAATTTATCAGTTCTTTTTCTAAGAAGCTACTCATGCTTGTAGTTGATCCTCATTGTACCTGAGCAACCGTAAAGAGTTCATCCAACCCCCC